TTCTGAGAGAAATGCGACCATGAATGAAAGGGTCTCTATGGCTTCCTCTGTCTGTAGGAGGCTTCAAACCTCCATCCTCCTGATCTCCGCCTCCCGAGTAGCTAGGATTACAGGTATGAAATCCTGTAAGCCACCAGTGTCTAGAAAAAATCTTTTTTGTGGGCCTGGGATTTGAACTCCGGGCTTCATCCTTACAAAGCAGGTGCTCTACCACTTGAACCACACCTCCAGTCCTGTTTGTTTTCTTGATGACTGACATTCTGTCTTGGGTGAGATGGATTCCCTGTGTCGTTTTGATTTTCATTTCCTCTGTGACTAAAGATGCTCAACATTTTTTCATGTATTAATTGGCTTCATACTTCTTTTGGTAATTATTTGTTCTTTTGGTGTTAAATTTTTGGAGCTCTTTATGAATTCTGGATGTTAATCCCTTGTCCAATGAATAAGTGGCAAGGGTTTTCTACCATCTTGTAAGTTTTCTCTTGATTCTGGTGATTGTTTCCTTTTTACAGAAGCTTTTAGATTTGATACAATCCCATTTGTCAATTCTTGGTTTTATTTCCTGAGCAACTGGAGTCCTATTTAGAAAGATGTTACCTATGCCTATGTCTTCAGGGTCTTCACCTATATTTCCTTGGGTGGTTTCAAAGCTTCAAGCCTTACAGTAAGGTCTTTGATCCATTTTGAATTGACTTTTGTGCAGGGTTAGATACAGCAGTCTAGTTTTAGTCTTCTACATGTGGATGTCCAGTTTTCCCAACACCATTGTTGAAGAAGCTGCCTTTTCTCCAACATACAGGGAGCCTTTGTATAAAAAAAAATCAGATGACTATAGCTGTGTGGGCTTATTTTTGAATTTTTTATTCTATTGATCTACATCTCTTTTTGTGCCAGTACTGTTCTGTTTTGTTATATCGGCTATATGGTATAATTTGAAGTCAGATATTATGATACCTTGAACATTGCTCTTTTTGCTCAGGATTGCGTTAGATGTTCAGAGGCTTTTGTGCTTCCATATGAATTTTAGATTTGATTTCTCTATTTCTGTGAAAAATGACATTGGAATTTTTATGATGGCATTGAATATGTAGCTTGCTTTTGATAGTGTAGCAATTTTCACAATATTAATTATGCTGATCCATGAACATGAGAGGGTTTTCCATCTTTTAGTGTCTTCTTTAAGTTCTTTCTTTAGTGTTTCATAGTTTTCAGTGTAAGAGGTCTTTCACCTCCTTTGTTAGGTTTATTCCTTGGTATTTAGTTTTTTTTGAGGGTTTGGTGAATGGGATTGTTTTCCTGATTTCTTTCTCTACCTGTTCATTATTGGTATATTGCTAATTTTTAATTTTGATTTTGTGCCCTGCTACTTTGCCAAGAAAAGCATTTATCAGATCTAGGAGTTTTTTTGGTGGAGTCATTAGGGTCTTTTAAGTATAGGATTATGTTATCTGCAGACAAGGATAATTTGACTTCTTCTGTCCTTTTTGTATCCCTCTTATTTCTTCCTCTTGCTTTATTGCTCCAGCTTAGGTATTCTAGTACTATATTGAATGGTAGTAGTACTAACTGAATGAGACCCTTGTCTCATTCCTGACTTTTGAGGAATAGATTTCAGTTTTCCCTGTCTAGTATAGGTTTGTCATACTTAGACTTTATTATGTTGAAATATGTTTCTTCTATTCCTAGTTGTTTCAGAGCATTTTTCATGAACAATGTTAAATTTTGTCAAAGGCTTATTTTATTTTGCATCTATTGAGATGTTCATGTGATTTGTGTCTTTATTCTGTTTATGTGCTGTATTACATTTATTGATTTGTATAGGTTAAACCATCCTATATCCCTGGAATGAAACCAGCTTGATCATGGTATATGATCTTTTAATGTGTTGCTGAGTTTGTTTTGCAAGTATTTTACTGCAACTTTTTTTGTTTTTATTCATCAAGGAAATTGATCTATGATTTTCTTTTTTTGTCATGTTCTTACCTGGTTTTGTTATCAGGTTGATACTGTCTTCATAGAATGAGTTTGGTAGTGCTCCTTCCCTTTCTATTTTAGATTTGAGGAGCCTTGGTGTTAGTTTTTCTTTAAAGACCATCTAGAATACATCTGGTCCTGGGCTTTTCTTTGTTGGGTGCTTCAATTTCATTGCTTATTATAGATTTGTTTAGGTGGTTTATATCTTCCTGGTTCAATTACGATATGTCATATGCATCTAGAAATTATTCTTCTAAGTTTTCCAGTTTACTAGAATATAAGTTTTTGAAGTATTCACTAATGATCCTCTGAATTTCATTTTGTTGCAATATCCCCTTACTTTAATTTTATTAATTTGGGTCCTCCCCCTCTTTATTTTGGTTATTTTGGCTAAGAGTTTGTCAATATTATTTTTTTGTTTAATTCTTGTCTTGTTCTTTCAGTCTTTATTTTCTTAATTTCTGCTCTGCTCTTTTATTTTTTCTGCCTACTGCTTTTGGGTTGTTCATGTTTTTTACCACTCTTTCCTTCTTTTTGGCAGTACTGGGGTTTGAATTCAGCGCCCTGTGCTTGCTAGGCAGGCACCCTACCACTTGAGCCAAACCCCAACATTTTTTTTTAAGAGCTTGAGGTGCATTGTTAGGTTATTTACTTGAGATTGCTCTGATTTTTTTTGTGTGTGTTTTCTATTTTTAGTTTATTTTATTCATATGTGCAGTTCTGATTTTTTAAGAAAGGCACACATGGCTATAAACTTCCCTCTTAGCACCGTCTTTTCTGTGCCCCAAAGGTTCTGGTAAATTGTATTTTCATTTTTGATTCTAGAATTTAAAAATTTTCCCTTTGCTTATTAGATAATGCACTGATAATTCAAGAGTGACTTGTTCAGTCTTCATGTTGGAGTAAGTTCCATGGGCTGCTGAAAAGAATGTGTTTTCTGTGGCTGTTGGTTGGAATATTGTGTGTCTGTGAAGTCCATTTGATCTATAGTGTCATTTAATTCTGAACTTTCCTTAGTGATATTTTGTTGGGATGATATGCCTTTTGGTGAGAGTGGGGTATTAAATTATCCACCATTATTGTTTTGGGGTCTATTTATCTTTATGTCCAGTAGTGTTTGTGTTATGTAATTAGGTGAACCAATGCTCTGTGCATATGTGTTTACAATTATTATCTCCTCCTGTCGATTATTCCCTTTATCAATGTGAAGTGACCTTCTTTGTCTCATCTGATTAACTTTGGCTTGAAGCCTGCTTTATGACATGCGAATATGGCTACTCCTGCTTGTCTTCAGGCTCCATTTGCTTAGAAAATCTTTTTCCATCTTTTCATTCTAAGTGTACATTTGTCTTGGCCAGAGAGGTGTTTCTTGTAGACAACAAATGGTTGGGCTTGCACTGTTTCTGACAAGAAGCTGGCCATTATTCTTATCTTCATTCCTCTTTGTATAATGTCTTCACACCACTCCCAAGCTGGTTCAATTTTAATCACCACTTTGAAACAACATGTGATATGAAAACCTAACAGTTTTCTTAATTAGTGTTTGTTAAACTTTTTGGTTCTGTGGGCTTATGGTTTCTGGCAAAACCCTGGCCACCACATCTTTAAATGGCTTTTGCTCCCCATCTGCATTCATAGGTCAGGTTGCTCAAGGTTGTCACACAGCTTTGGATGCACTATTCACCTTTTTTTTTTCAGCTATTTTTTGTTCTCTACTTCATTTTGGATACAGTTTTTAGTGTTGTCTTCAAGTACACTATTTTTTCTTCTGCTCTGACCTACTAATTCCACTGAGCATGTCCTTTCAGAAATTGTAATTTCCATTTCTTGATGTCTGAATTGTTTTTTATACTACTCACTTCTCCACTTAACATACTTAAATCTTACTTTTTTGAACATATGTAGTAATGATAATTGTTTTAATGTCCTTTACCATCTCTGCAATTTCTGTGTACCAATTAATAACCCCCTCTTCATCATGAATTGTATTTTCCTGCATACAGGAAAAGGTTATCTTGCATGCAGGATAACCTTGAATGGATGCTAGATATGGCATTACCTTGTTGCATGAAGTACATTTTGTATTCTTAAAAATGTTCTTGAGCTTTACTCTGGGATATAAAGTTACTTACAAACATTAATGCCTCTAGATATTCCTTTGGTAAGCAGGACCAAGGCAGTATTAAATCTAGGGCTACTGAGCTCCCATTACTGGGGCAAACTCTTTTCTCACCACCTCATGGTTTTTCTACTAGTGGCTGGTTGGAGCAGGTGCTACTCTTGCATAAAAGTTGATTATTCCCTCTAATACTTTCATGTTCCTCTGACTGGCCTCAGGTAAGTTTTTCAGTGCATGGGCTGATCTCTGCAGACTCTGTCTTTGCCTTTCTACTCTCTCAGTTCTTTTTTTTAATTTTTAATTTTTTTATTATTCATATGTGCATACAATGCTTTGGTCATTTCTCCCCCCTGCCCCCACCCCCTCCCTTACCACCCACTCCACCCCCTCCCTCTCCCCCCCTCGATACCTGGCAGAAACTATCTTGCCCTTATCTCTAATTTTGTTGAAGAGAGAGTATAAGCAGTAATAGGAAGGAACACAGGTTTTTGCTAGTTGAGATAAGGATAGCTATACAGGGAGTTGACTCACATTAATTTCCTGTGCATGTGTGTTACCTTCTAGGTTAATTCTTTTTGATCTAACCTTTTCTCTAGTTCCTGGTCCCCTT